TAACTATTGGCCAAGGTTAATACGATTAAACAGTTGAACGACTCAAGAAAGTTTACAATTCTTACAAATTAGAATAATCGACTTCGACTTAGCTGGCTAAGCCAAATTTCAAATATTAACTTAGTTGAGTCGATAAATTTAGGTTGACTACAAACACTATTATCGTTTAATTTTATTGATGAATATGGAGATCATTTATCAATCAATGTTTTTAAAATAAGCTGTTCAAGTTCATGAAGATTCACTATCACGCAATACCTTCATTAATTCGTTATTCATATTAATTTAGTTAGTGAGTATTATCCAAGTTAATAGCGTTTATCATGCACTTTTTTTCTTATTTAATTTAATTTTATTTTTGTGTTAATTTAGTCGATGAATATAAAGATTATTTATCAATTGATGTATTTGAAATAAGCTGCCCAAGTTCATGAATATCTGCTATTATGTAATACCTTCATTTAATCATGTTAATTTAATCGATAAGTATTATCCAAGTTAATAGTATCTACTGTACACCTTTCTGCTAATTTAATTTTATTTTATTTGCAATAATTTAGTTGATAAATATAAAGATCATTTATCCATATATGTATTTAAAATAAGCTGTCCAAGTTTATTTTATTCGTGTTGACTTAGTTGATAAGTATTATTCAAGTTAATAACATTTACTATACACTTTTTCGCTTATTTAATTTTATTTTATTTGCTTAATTTAGTTGATAAATATTAAGATAATTTATTAATCGATATATTTGAAATAAGTTGCCCGAACTTAATATTTACTATTATATGATACTTTTCTTAATTTCATTTTATTCTGTTAATTTAGTCAGTGAGTATTATTCAGGTTAATAGCATTTACCATGTACATTTCTGCTCATTTAATTTTATTTATTGTATTAATTTAGTCGATAAATTTAAGGATAATTTATCGATCGATATATATTTGAAATAAGTTGTTCATGAAATATTTACAATTACCAATACCTTCATAAATTTTGTTTTTATGTTAATTTATGATATAACCTCACATAGGTACACTCTTATTTGGTAAACTTTACTTATTGCAAATCACGTGACTTTGGTCAGTTTGAATAATGGAAGAACTATAGTCAGTGAGTAAAGGCTGACATATTTAAATTAAGCTTGTTTTATCTTTTTTGTATTTTTTTAAATTAGAAACTATACGAATGTTTTTCATATAAGAATTCATACTTTAATAAAGAATATTTTACATAATTGCCTATTTTCAGTTCCTTGTTCAATTGATATTATTTGCTTTGATTACAAATAAGAACAAGTCATTCATAAAATTAAATTTCTATATCGCTAGCCAAATTATAAATTTTCCCAAATTCCAATACTAAACACATTAAAATCCTAAGGCCAAATTCCAATTGTTTTGCGAGCAAGTAGACTATATTTATACAAGTCACTCTTGTTTAATGAAGTTATCATGTCTATTAATAAAAATTCACTAAATTAAAAGTTTTATTAGTAACTCACTATATTAAAGTATTAACTGAGAGTTAATTAGTCTTCACTATAACGAGAATGAATTGTATTACCAAATAACTAATAGTAAGCTGAGATATACTTAAAGGAAGTCTGATTCTATTTTTTAAAAAAATAATTTGAATCAGGATTTGCACGAAGAAAATTGGTCTAAATATAACTGTAGAACGCTGCATTCAGTACCTTCAGTACCCGGAGTACAAATCAAAAAACCTAGTTAACTTGATTTGTATCTGGAAGATACTATGTGATGAGAAAGGTATGATCCAAGAGGAAGTACTTTGAATAATTCATAAACAGCTATGTTTATTAGATATAAGTAAGACCATATAAAATTATATAATTGGGTTTTATTTCATGAAATAGTAATCTATGACGCGATTGCATAGCTTTTTTTTTTTTTTTTTTATAAAAAAATTTTTTTAATTAAAATAATCGTAATAAAAAAAAAATGAAAAGGTGATATCAGAATCAGAAAAAGGTAATGTCTAAAAATATGTCTTGTCAAGAAAATAGTCTATAGATGAAATAGTCTGTTAAGGAATCATACCGATATGTTTCAAATTTTACTGATAAATAGTTAAAGCCAACTTTTAACTGAATGTAATAGATAAATGATTAAACCAATTTTTTTTATTAAATATTATATAATGATGCTGAGCTTATTCACAAGAGACAAATAAATTTGCCTACCTCTGCTAACCCACGAATGAGCTAGGTAGTGCCTATTCAGGTTCAAACACTAAACTATACACTTTTGTTTCACTACGTTCTTAGTATGGAAAATTCTATTAGTTAACTATATAAAAAAAAAAAATTTACAAACACTATTTCACTGACGCGAGGGGATATGAAAACCAATTGTATAGTTTTTTGTGATCTAATTGTATAAACCTAATTAATTTTAAATGAGGTTTTAATTTGGTAGAATACCATCCTGGAGGGATATTGAATACAGTGCTCTATAGTAAAAACAGATGATTCGGATACAAAAACTGATTATTCAAATATAATACTGTGCAAAAATTGTAATATTAAAATTTTATTATAAAGAAAATTTTAATTCTATAGTCAAAATTTTGACAAAATGAAAAAGAAAACGAAATTAAATTAGTATTAAAATATAATTCATGTAAACATATATATTGCTTTAATATATGCTTACTATAAGTACTAAAAGAAGGGAAAACGAAATATTCTTAATAATCTGATTTCCAGTTTGACAAACCTACGCTACAGATTATTAGTAGCAAAACATAGGTAGGATATTTTATACTCTATTGGTATACCTATGGCTACTAAACTCTAAAACAATTTTATTAGTATATTAAATCAATAATTAATAGAATTGTTGTAACGAACCATAAAAATTAATCCAATGATTATTGACATGTTTAAAGATTTGTAAAACATAAAAAAAAAAAATTACTTAAATTAATTAGTGCGGACCATTACCCGTGACTTAATTATGCATCGCACTAAAATGTCAACAGCAATCAACAAAAATCAAGACCGTAATCGCCTATTATTAAAATAATATTCTACACTCCTAAATTATTTTATTATATAAAAGAAAATTCAATAAAGACCAAACTTAATAGCTATATAATTATCTACGATTTCTGGCGTGAAATCTAGAAATTAGTCAAATAAATTAATTAATTGACTGTCAATTAAATCAACAATTAGACTAGTTAAATACTTGCACAAAATGGCTATATGTACTCTGTCACAACTAGCTAGGAGAACGTGAATTGAATACTCTGAGGCCTTCTTCTATACTTTGTGGTGGGACACAGTTATCACTTATAAATTGGAACTAACCAAAGGATACTGTGAATTATATCATATGTTGGGAGTGCAATCCTAATACAATCGTCTTCATTAAAGTTTTCCTAGTGACTATCATTCTTAATGATTTATTCTAGACCTAAAAAAGAATAAGAAAATAATATTAATATTGTCACATGATCTAATGGACATTGATGTCTGTGGGATCATGCGACAGCTCAATATTTCTTGTTAAATAATAATAGAAAGACTCGCTATCGAAAGACTTATCTAAGAATTCCAGCAACATATAATTATCTTAATTACAAATCCAACAGACTAAGCAATTAATTGATTTTTGATTCATAAGACTAAATATTATGCTCTAACAACCTGTAAAAATTTTTTATATTAGTTTGATACAGAAAGTGTTATGAGCTCTTAAGAATACATAGTAATTATATACAAACTTTTTTCTTCCTGAATTGTTACAGTTGACTATACAATTTCACATTAATGCCAGAAACAAAACATGATAACGAGATGCTACTTTGCCATTTTTAGTAAGCTTATAATTGTTCATCAAATCCATCAAGAGCAATTGTCTACTACAATAAAATTGAAATAAGTTAGTATGAAAAACAAATTTATTTGAAATAAAATATTGGCCTTCGTGATATTATCTTACCTATAATGAAGCCATTCAATTTTTTTCTCTATTATTTTCTATTATTATATTATCCATTATTCTTATATGTTATCTATATTTAGCTATTAAACTTAGTAATTGCCCATCGATATTGAATCAGAAAACTTTTATATTATATGATTGGTACAATCAGCCCAAAATTAGAAAATGTCCTAGCTATGCAGTTTATTACACCGTTCTCTAATTAAGTTATGTATTCAAATCTGTTAATTCCATAATTAGGTTAATGGTGTAATAGATAACTTATGCAGTCATTTATAGTGCTATGCCTTTAATAAGTTGCTTATACTAATTAATTAATTATTAAACTTATTCTTTATTTAGTAATCGCTCGTTGATGTCGAATCAGAAATCTTCATTATTTTGATTAGTACGATCGCCCCAAAATTGGAAAATATCCTACTTATGCAGTTGTCATTTATCACGCCGTTCTCTAATTAAGTTATGTATTTAAATCTGTTAATTCCATAATTAGTCATAGTGTAATAAATTGCCAAAAATAGAAATTTATTCCACTTATGCAGTTGTTTATCGTGCAATACTCTAATAAGTTGCCTATACTAATTTATTAATTCCATACTTAGGTTGATCATCGGATAAGTGATAGAAATTGTTATATAACTAATATTGCGCAATTCTAATTATACCATTGGGATTATTTTAGTTTAAATGGGAGATAAGAAAAAGGAAAAGTATTCAAAGCTTAAAGAAAAGGTTTTATACATTGATTAAAAATTATGATGTAAAGGAATGTATAAAAAGTTACCAAATTTACCTCGACTAAGCTTCAAGTTTCGAATTATACTTATTTTAAATAAAAGACTTGAGTGATTTCTTATTCATATCTTATAACTATATTTTTTGGAAAATATCTAAAGTATTGATTAGGTTTCATAGTATCCAATATTAAAATTTAAATAAACTATGGTTTTGTCTAGCATTTAAGTAAATCCTAAACATTTTTGAACATTTAACCTTCGAAAAAAAAACTCTATTAATAATAATGCCTAAAAAACGACAGTTTGCTTCAAAAATTTTATATGTGGGTACCATAGAATCACATCTGCATTATGGAATTTGGGCCAAAACTTAGTGGGAAACAATTCATACGGAATTCGAAACTGAAATGAAGGATCTTGTAGTACCTTACCATTTATATATACGTATTGCGTGTGAACTTAATAGTAGAAACTTAATTATCACCGTTGTACCTCATAATAATAATTTACTAAAGTGCAGCTTTTCAGTGTACCTGTGATGGAATTGGAACAAATAATATTAAATCAGTCCATCGACTGCAATTAGCAAATGCTACCAAACAATTTTTCTTAAAACGAAAACTGAATACTCTGGTTTGGCTGTAATGAGATTCGAAAATGAGAATATTATCCGACAATTAATCAATAATATAATATTTTTTCCAATATTTATTCATATAGAAAAGCTTGCTGTAGTAATAATAAGCATTAGTGACCTAGAGGAAAATAGATTCTATGGGGTTGGTACTAGATTTGTTTCTTCGTTCACTACATATTATTATAGCGCACAACATCTTTTTATATTCAGAATTGAAGAAAATTAATGTACTTTAGAAATTTATTTAGAATCCGATTGTATTAAAAGAATTATAGAACAAACTCCAGACGAAATTTGGAAAAGAGTAGAAATTTACCAAAAATATACTGAGTCATACCTCTTTGGAATTACAAGTTTATTAGTTCAAGAACGTCTAAGTAAATTGAGAAGTGAATTACCAACATATACAGTTAGTGACTGGATAGATAAGCAACAGCTAGAGAAAGTATTTTCTTATCATATAATATCACGCAAGATTTCCAGTGCAATGATTAATTGGCAAACCCTTTTTTATAATTGGTATCAACAAAATAGCTCCATTATTCAATTTCTGCTTATACTACAAAACATTTACCCATCTAAATATTGCTTTCAAGAAAAAGAGCTACGAGCATAGCGAGCAATGTTTGTTGCTTGTAGGTGTACTAATGTAATACCTGTTTCAAAAAAAGAATCGTCTATAGAATTTTGAAGCAAAGTATTAGACCCTACTGCGAACAGAAAATTATTAAAAAACCTTCATGATAATGATGTTATGCAATTGATAAAAAAATTTCAGTACCAGTACCAGACCCACAACCAAATCCGTAAGTTACAATGTTTTGGGATAGCTTTAGAGATACAATGATTTCAACAAAAAAGGATCAGACAGTAAAATTCGTATCCTTTCAATTATTGCTCTAAAATTTAAATACCGTGTCCTCAAAAAAGAATTAGGTGTAAGTAATAATATTAGCAAAACCTTTTTCATTTCAAAATCTGAAATATTTGAGAGGTTTTAGTTTTTCTCAATTCAAAATCTCCAAAATCCCAAACAATCTGAAATCTTAGATACACCAAATTCTTTGAAACTTATCAACACTAAGTTTCCTATCTAATGTATTTCTGATTCTTTATGTCAAAGACGTAGATTTAGACGAATACGCATTACTTCACTGACACCCATTTCATAGACATAATATTTTATTTACAATTAATTCACTGACATGTGCTTTTCACAGATAACCAATTCCTAGACAAGCTCATTTTGTAGACAACTTATTTCACTGACAGCTTATTTGACTAGCAAGTTTATTTCTTATAAATTCCTAACTCTAATCTAAACCCAATTCTAATGATAATAATATCAGTGAAATAAGCTGTTAGTGAAATATTGTCTATGAAATAAGCTTGTCTAGGAATTAATTGTCTGTAAAATAAACATGTCGGTGAATTGATTGTAGGTGAAGTGTTGTATCTATAAAATAGATGTCGGTGAAATGAACGGAACTAGATTTGGACAGTTTCGGTTTAATCAGATTTGAGGATCTTTTGTAGTTTTTAATTGTAACTTAACATTTTATGTTTATTAGGTTGGATCGGAAACAATAAATAAAGCTAGAAAACATGCTCAACTTTATGGCGCAGGCACATCACCTCTGCAAAAAACTAGAAGAACTGTTCAACGATTATCCAATATTCAAGAAGAACAATTCTTGTAATTTTTTCAAGATAGAGAAAATGTTACAATGAGCTCATACTATGTAGATTTGATAACAGAATTGCCAGTTCTATATTTACATGACAAAAAAAGTAATTTATGGGATAAGTTTAATGAAACTTATCCAAATGGTATGAAAAGGACTACTTTCATGGCACGACTAAACAATTCTACAAATCTTAAATACTATGAAAATCTCAGTGGGCTATGCATAATCTGCAATGATTATGGATATGAAACCTTTGAAGAATTTGCAAACATTATACGAAATAATTTTATAAATAAAAATAATATAGTTTTTAATATATTATTTTTAATGAAAATACTGTAATAATGCTTATTCTAATATATAATTACCTTATTAAATAGTTTTATTAGTCCAAAATTTTAGAACATCTTGAAAAGCTTAAACAATATATAAAACGAGGTTATGAAAAAGAATTGACAGTCAGAGCAGATGGTAAAATCGAGCATGATTTGTGCATTTCCTACTGCTTGCTTTATGCATTTGGTGAATGTATCAACAGCTATGAAATACAATGCCCCAATTGCGATCAATTGTTTGAATTTCTGGATTTGATATATGAATCAGTACCTTCAAATATTTATCCACAAATCACAGAGTACAAAGAAAAATTATTATATTACCTTTCACATCAAACACGAAAAGTATACTTGAATGCCCAATATAAAGTAGCATTAGCTTAGCTCGATTCCAACGATGCGCTTTTTATTGCAAACTATAAAATGCGTATACTACCTAAATCTGCATGTGAAACAAAAAAAGATTTCTTTGGAAAACGTGGTTGGACTTTACATACAATTTTAGTTTTTACTAAAAAAAATGAAACTGAAGTAGACATTAAAGCATACGATTACT